CCGATTATAGTTTGCATGTATAACGTAGTAAATAGCGAATCCGGAAAACTATGCAATTTTAGTGAAAAACGACCCTTATGCTCAACACAGTACAAAAGGGGTTAAAGTATGAGAATTGCATGAGTTTTGAAAGCGTTTATGTTTAGCTTGTATCCTCCCCCTGAAAACATTAAAAACACGGAGAAAGTAGGGGTATGAACTCACCTCGGGTAAGTGGTTTGATTGAAGGATCGATACGAAGAGCCGGGTGTTCAAGTAAAGCCTTGAACACGAATCGATCCTAATAACATGTAATGACACATAAACGAGTCAAACGAAGGTATTTCACCACTATAACTGATGGAAAACCACTCTAGGGACTTGAAACTATTTGCACCAAGTGATAGGACCTTGTAGGATGGAGTGTAGGGGGTGTATGGCCACTTAGAGTGTGCGTGCGGCCATGGGTGTGCGGCCCAATGGGTGTGCGGCCGTACACTCATGAAATGAGGTGCCTTCGAAGTGCTCTCAAGGTCCATACTCACATCCACGAAGTGTTCAAGGTCTATACTCAATTGTAGTGCAAGATAAGGGTCCTATAAGTGGGTTTATGGCCCTAGAATGAGTGTGTGGTCGCACACAAGGGTGTGTGGTCGCACACTTGGAGTGTGCTGCCGTACAAGGGTGTGTGCGGCCGTACACAGGTATGTGCAGTCGTACACCCCTCAAAATGATGCCCAAATTGTCCATTTTAAGGTGCAACAAGGCTAGGGGCATGTCTACATCGAATATGGAAGTTAAGCTCTCACTTTGGAGGGTGTTTTAGGGGTGTGCGGCCGCACTCACTTCCAAACACGAAGAACATAACGTTTTTGCACACTTAGGGTTTGGATAGAGTGGTCTGTCATGGATTGTAAGTTAGAGGAAGATGTACTCACGTTCTTGAAGGTTTGGAAGGTTCAAAGTTGGAGAAACTTGAGAGGAAATGATGTTGTGTGCTGCCAAGGTGCTAAAGGAATGAAAGGAAGGGGGCTACCCTTTATATAGGGGTAAGGGTGCTGCCCAAAAGTGAGTGTGCTGCCAAGGGAATGAGTGTGCGGCCGCACACCCATGTGTACGGCCGTACACTCCTCCAAGAGGTGTGTTTGGCCCGATTTTCTCACTATTCAACACTCGGACTCATTCCTAAACTCAACCTTGGTTAAATTCAAGCTTAGAACACTCAAATGAACCCTTAAATAGCACCAGAAATCAACAAAACAAGTTGAATATTGATTAAATTGACTAAGTGTACAGGATTGAAGTTTCCGGGTTGTCACATTCGATGACACTACCACCTTCCCGTATCTTAGTTATTATAAAAAACAAACAGCCTCTACACCCACTGCCACTCACATGCCTACACAAACACCCACCGGGCCACATAACCCATCTACGTCCTCTACCACAGTCCACATCCCTTCACCGCATTCCTCACCTTCTACTCCTACACAAAATAACAGCCCCATACAGCCCATACAACACCAACCGATACCCACTCCTACACCATCTCGACCTCAACCTATACCTAATCCCCCATCCCCACCACCACTTCCACTAAACCAGCCGAATCACCCCATGCAAACACGATCCAGGAGTTGTATTGTCAAACGAAAAATACAATTTAATCTACTTACTAAACCATTATCTCCTTTACCTAAGAATATTGCTAATGCTATGAATGATCAAAATTGGAAAGATGCTATGCTAACAGAATTTCATGCTTTACTTAAACAACAAACTTGGGAATTAGTACCCCGCCCACATAATGCTAATATTATCAGGTGTCATTGGCTTTTTCGCCATAAATTCAGATCAGATGGTTCACTGGAAAGATACAAGGCAAGACTTGTTGTTAATGGCAAGTCTCAAGAAATTGGGGTTGATTGTGATGAAACATTCAGCCCGGTTGTTAAACCGGCTACTATACGAACAGTTTTGAGCATTGCTATCAGTCCTAAGTGGGAGATTCAGCAACTTGATGTCAAAAACGCGTTCCTTCATGGTGACCTACAAGAAACAGTGTTTATGCACCAACCTCCGGGTTTTAGTGATCCATCCTACCCTGGGTACGTTTGTAAATTAGCAAGTCTTTATACGGGCTCAAACAAGCACCGCGTGCTTGGTACCAACGCTTTGCTTCACACCTTCTTCGTATGGGTTTTCAATGCAGCAAAAGTGATACTTCTCTCTTTACTTTCTCACGGGGCACATATATCGCATACTTACTTCTCTACATCGATGATATTGTTCTCACCTCCTCGACAAGCAAGCTTCAATTGGAAACTATTGCTGCTCTTAAAAATGAGTTTGACGTGACCGATCTTGGTCCTCTTAGATACTTTCTTGGCATCAAAGTCAAACACACTTCTGACTACATGTTCTTATGTCAGCAGTCTTATACCGATACCATCATTAAACGTGCCAACATGGAGAAGTGCAAACCTGCTGCAACGCCTGTGGATACACATTCTAAATTAAGTGCTAATATCGGGGATCCTGTTGTTGACCCTTCACTTTATCGAAGCCTAGCTGGTGCGCTTCAATACCTCACATTCACACGTCCCGACATATCGTATGCGGTGCAACAGATATGTCTATTTATGCATGCTCCACGGGTGCCCCATTTTAATGCTCTCAAACGTATCATCCGCTATCTACAAGGTACTAAGACACTTGGACTTCATCTTTATCCATCTACCTCGGATCAGCTTGTCTCCTACACTGATGCTGATTGGGCCGGTTGCCCTGACACACGAAGATCCACTTCTGGATATTGCGTTTTCCTTGGCAGTAACCTCATCTCCTGGTCTGCTAAACGCCAACCCACTCTTTCTAGATCTAGTACTGAGGCAGAATATAGAGGGGTTGCTAATGTGGTGTCTGAAACTTGCTGGCTGAAAAATCTTCTTCTAGAACTCCGTGTTCCTCTCAAACGAGCCACCCTAGTCTACTGTGATAACGTGTCTTCTGTTTATCTTGCCAGCAAACCTGTACAACATCATCGCACTAAACATGTTGAAATGGATATTCACTTTGTACGAGAAAAGGTAGCCCTTGGCCACATTCGCGTCGCATATTCCCTTTGCCTACCAATACGCTGACATCTTCACCAAAGGACTACCAAGATAGCTCTTCCTTGACTTTCGTTCCAGTCTAAGCGTCCGTGAACCTCCCGATCAGACTGAGGGGGACTCTAAGCGAATATATTAGTCTATATTTATTTATGTAAATTATATTGTGATGTATATCAATTCCTATATTGTAGGGATATTCTTGTACTATTTATACCCTTATGATTAATGAGAAGAGCATCGGTTAATACCAATTATCACATGGCATCGAGATCAGTGACATTTTCAAACTCCAAATTAAATCAGGTGATAATTCCAAATTTTGGTATGATAATTGGGTCGGGGCGGAGATACTAAAAAACAAATACCCTTCTCTTTACGCCCTTAAATCTAGGAAACGGTGCGCTGTGGCTGATAGATTTTATGATGGGGCCTTTGAAGGCCACTGGAAGTCCTGCCCTCGTCAATTGGGGTTGGGTGAGGAACTTGCTAATCTACAACGGGATCTATCCATGGTGAGTTTGACAATGGGGATGATAATTGGATATGCACACTTGATTCCAATAAAGAATATTCAGTGAGTGCCTTAAGGAGGGTCATTGACCAGAAAGCAGATCCAAATCCTATCCTACCCAATATTACTTGGTGTAAAACGGTGCCAATCAAAGTGAACTATTTCATATGGAGAGCAATGCAAAAGAAAATTCCATCATTAACTGCCCTTAGATTGAGGGGGGTGGAGATTGCATCGATAGAGTGTGGAGCGTGTATCAATGGAGATGACTGTGTTGACCATATTCTCGTTCTCTGTCCATTCGCTCGTTTGATTAGAGAAAAGATTTTCCAGTGGTGTAATTTACCTAATCAATCGTTCAACAACGTTAGTGATTTGCTAAACTTTATTGATAACTGTGGTCGAGGCACAAGAAGGATACAACGGTTAAGAATGATCTGCTATGGGTTATTATGGTGCTTATGGAAGTACTGTAATGACCGTATATTTAGACATACTTTCATTTGTCCAGACAAAGGAGTGGAGTACATCAAGTCGTTGATACACTTTTGGATTAAAAGCAGAGGCGATGGTGGTTCTTGCAGGTGGGATGAATGGAAACTCTCCATTTGTTGATTTTTGAAATTGCAATTGTCATAGTAATGGCCATAAAACTTCTATGTTTTTATTTGTTCTTCGGGTTTCCTTTCTAGTTACTTTCTAGATGGGTTCCTTTTAATAAATATTTGTTGTTAAAAAAAAATATGATTAGTTATATTTTAAATATAGTAGTTTATTTATTAAAATTTTATAATAGTATATTTTATAAAAAATTACAGTAAGAAAATATATAAATATTTAAAAAGGTAATAAATTTTAGGATATTTTTTTGACAATCAAGCTTAAAAAGAATAGACAAAAGGATATACTTTTTATGCAAAAGATCATATAAAAATACATAGGGTTTGAGATAAAATATTATTTAGACACGCCATTTCTTATACCATTTTATATATATAAAAAATAGAGTTAATGGAGTTGGAGTTAAAGTTGGGTTCGATGATAAATATAAAAATAAAGTCAACTTGTTCTTTAGCTTCAAAACCCAATTTTAACTCTATTTTCTTCGTAACTATCTAAAAAATTCAGGTTCTTACAATTTTTTTCATTAGTAAAATTTTGACGGTCTCTAAAAAACCTGCAAAGAATATATTCCTATACAAGCGAAAAATAAAACTTTAGATTAAGAATATTTTATCTAAAAAGAACATACAAACATAAGAAACTATTTTCTAATTAATTAAAACATTACTACAGAAACGTGTAATATTTATATGCGTTGTATTATATAAGTAACACGTAATACCATAAAATAAAAAATAAGAATAAACCTTTTTTCAAGCTATGTAAAACTGTCATACACATGATATACCAAGAGACGTGGACATAAACCGATCGGACCTTGTCCTTCTAACCAAAGATTTCATCTCCCGCGACAACCCATCAAACTCCCGCAGCTTCTCCGGTGACTCCGGGATGGTAGACAGTGCAGTACTAGAAGTATCGTAGACGTAGAAAGCTCCGTCTGTTGAGGAGGTATGGTGGTGATTTTTAGGCCAGAAAACAGATCGCAGGAACTTGTAAAGGGAACGTTTCTTGGAGGAGGGTTCATTGTGGCGGACGGTGGGTGGTGGTTGCCGGTGGTGGGAAAGGTGGGGCATTGACATGGTTCTGGTGGAGATGGCGGAGTTAATTTGGTGTTGTAAAGATTTGAGTTCAAATGAGTCGTAAAGGGAACTGCCACAGTCCCAAATTTCACGTTTCATCTCTTCTTTTCTCATTTCCGCTTCTTGTCAACTTCGGAGAGATAGAGAGGAGAAAGGCCGGTGGGGTTGTATGTTTCCAAAGATATATATATATATATATATATATATATATATATTATATTTATATATATATATATATATATATATATATATATATATATATTATAAATTTGACGTAATTAAAACAAAATTAATAAAACTAAACTAATAACCTTAAGAAAGAAAAATGGAGATTTGGAGAGAATTTGATAACTTATATAAAGTATTCAAATTGGTGTATCTTTTATATATGTAATGGTGTTATTTATACTAGTTAAATCACTAGACATAATTAATAAGTTCTTACACATATTTTGACATATTTGTTATAAGAGTTGAAAATAACTCTTATACATTTGACATTATGGTAGAAAATGTTGTCATCCATTTATTTACAACACTCCCCCTTGGATGACATCATTTCAAATTAGAGTTCAACCTTGAAGTACTACTTCATTAAAAACCTTGCTAAAGAAAACCCCAGTGGGAAAAAACTTTAGCGAAGGGAAAAAGAGTGCAGTGTATAGTTGACTCCCCCTTATTTAGACATCTGTCACATTATATTCTATGCACATGTCGCATCCCGATGCCATGGACATGTTTCCTGAAGATTGCAGTAGGAAGTGCCTTCGTAAAAGGTCTGCTGCATTGTTACTGGATTGAACATATTTGATTTCAACTTGATGGTTCTTTATAAGCTCTTGAGTGTACTCGAAAAATTTTGGAGGTATATGTTTTGTCCTGTCGCTCTTGATATATCCTTCTTTCATTTGAGTAACACATGCTGAGTTATCTTCGTATATTAAAGTTGGACCTATATCTTTTTCAAGTCCACATGAAGTTAAAACTAGATGTGTCATTGATCTCAACCATGTACATTCTCTACTAGCTTCATTTAGTGCAATTACTTCAGCATGATTTGAGGATGTGGCAACAACAAGTGTTTGCTTTTGAGAACGTCAGGAAATTGCGGTACCTCCATTCATGAATACGTATCCAGTTTGAGATCTAGCTTTATGAGGATCAGACAAATAACCTGCATCTGCATAACTAATCAAGCCTTGTTTTGAATTGTTAGGGTAAAATAACCCTAAATCACTAGTTCCTCGAAGGTATCGAAAAATATGTTTGATTCCATTCCAATGTCTTTTGTTGGGGCTGAACTAAATCTTGCTAGCAAGTTTACAACGAAAGAAATGTCAGGTCTAGTACAATTGGTAAGATACATAAGAGCTCCAATTGCATTTAGATATGGTACTTCTCAACCAAGGACTTCTTCATTTTCTTCGCATGGACGAAATGGATCCTTGTCAATATTTAATGATCTAACAACCATTGGAGTGCTTAAAGGATTTGCATTTTCCATATTGAAACGTTTCAAGACTCTTTCTGTGTAATTTGATTGATGCACAAGTATTCCGTTAGACATATGCTCAATCTATAAACCAAGACAATATTTGTTTTTTCAAGATCTTCATTTCAAATTCTTTCTTTAAAAGTTCAATCACTTCAAGGATTTCTTTATTCGTTCCAATGATGTTTAGATCATCAACATAGACTACTATGGTCACATATCCAGATGTTGTTTTCATAATAAATACACATGGACAAATAGTGTTATTTTTATAACCTTTACTTGTCAAATAATCGCTTAAACGATTGTACCACATGCGTCCAGATTGCTTTAGCCCATACAAAGATCTTTGTAATTTTATAGAATACATTTCTTTGGGTTTTGCACTTAATGCTTCAGGCATTTTAAATCCTTCAGGGATTTTCATATAGATATCACTATCAAGTGATCCATACAAGTAAGCTGTAACAACATCCATAAGACGCATCTCTAAATTTTTAGATACTGCCAAGCTGATTAAATATCTGAAAGTGGTTGCATCCATTACCGGTGAATAAGTTTCTTCATAATCAATTCCAGGTCTTTGAGAGAAACCTTGAGCAACAAGCCTGGCCTTGTATCTTACAATTTCGTCTTTCTCATTTCTTTTTCGTACGAAGATCCATCTATATCCTAATGGTTTCACAACTTCAGGTGTGAGGATAATGTTCCCAAAAACCTTTCTCTTGTTAAGAGAATTTAATTCAACTTGCATAACTTCCTTCCATTTAGCCCAATCATTTCTTCTTTCACATTCAATGACAGATTTGTTGGATTAATGTCTAAGTCCATAACTATAATTAATAAGACTTGATCCGACCCGGCATGGTCCATTTGGGTGCATGGCATCATGCATTTGGATAGACTATAATGAGAGAAATAACACTTAAGGTTGGTTAATATATTATAAGTTCTAATATATTAATAAGGTTATTTAATTAGTATTGATCAAGAATTAATTTGGAATTAATTAAGTGATCAAAAGGAGACTAATTAAATATATGGGTTGATTGTGTAAATCATTCATTCTTATATATGTGGGCTTGTGATCCAAGATTTCTTATGTTGGACTAAGTCCATGGGGTGACCCATGGATACTCCATGGAGGTTAAAATCCATGGAGCATAAGGAATGGGTAAAGTTATGAGTTACATGGTGTAACCCTAATAGCCACCATATAAAAGAATCCCATGGCTCAAGAAATCGTGCACTAATGTGTGAATATGAGGGCTAGACGATTTCAAGGAGTGTTCCATTTCTCTCAAGTCATTCCATATGCATTTGGTGTTGTGTGAACCATTTGAGGTGTCACACTTGGGGCACTAGGCACTTAAGCTTCATGGAGACAAGCTACATCAAACAAAGGTATGTATTCTATCCATTTGATTACCCAAGTATCAAGTATTGTATGCTAGATAGAGTAATACCTTGGAAAGTTCATAATTGCATGTATAATAGAGAAAACATAGATCCAAGGTATTTAGGGTTGTATGTGCACCATATGATGTTGTAGTATACTAAAACCCAACAGTGGTATCAGAGACAAGGCTTGTTTTCTTGTTATACTTGCAAAATTAGCTGAAAAATCGAATTGTATTAGTTTAAAAGTTATGCTAATTACTTGAAAATTTTTTTTGATGTGAATTATCTTTGTTCATATGAGTTTATTAGATTAATAGAAAAGTTAATTGATTATGTGTTTTCAATCCATTTTAATCTAATAGTTGATTCTAAAATGTGTTTTTGTAACTTGTCCTCAAGTTATATGAAAAGTCACATTTAAGTTTCATAAAACTCATAAAAAGTTGGCAATGGTTACAAAAAATGAAGAGTCTTGTCCTCATTAAATGGTTTTATGACTCCATAACTTGTCCTCAAGTTATGGAGGTTCAAGAGTCACTTCATTAAATGATAAAATGTGTAACCTTAATTAGTTCCATAAGTTACAAAAATAAAGAAAAGTTACATTCTTTTATTAGTTTAAAGTCTTCCATAACTTGTCCTCAAGTTATGGAACTTGAAGAGTTTTTTTTAATTAAAACTACTTTAAACACATAAGTTATGAAATTAATTAGTTTTGAATATTTTCAAAACTTGCCCTCAAGTTTTTGGAATTTGTAAAGTTTTCCCCTGAATACTTTAATTCCAAGTTAGCCCTTAGAATTTTAAAAGTTAAAATTCAACCCTTATACTTTATAGTATTATAAGTTAATAATAAATATATGTATAAGAGCAAGTCAGTCTTACCGTTAGTAGGCCTCATTCACGAAGCCGGTCTATAAGGGGGGTATAAGGTTACTGCCTATAAAATGGCAGTTTTTAATGGGTGTCCACTCTCACCCACCGCTTCCTTGACCGGTGGAGGGTCGTTAGCCGAACGGGTAGGACAAGGACTATAATTCTCCCTTCATTAAAAGTATTAATGATAAATACTAAGTAACTAAACTTTTTATAAATTCCCAATCTTAGTTACTTAGGAAAATGTGAATAAGGTGCTAATCCATGAAATTACACTTTGCACTTTGTTTAAACCGTTAGTGGAGCGTGTGTGGTTAACCGGCACACTAACCTGGATTTAACAAAGTAGGCAAAGGGTAACTTAATATTTATCATAGTATCGGTGGAGCTCGTGTGGTTAACCGGCACATCGATTGAGGGGTAAATATTAAGGGTACCAAGTATATTTGCATGGTTACTTCACACCTTGTTTGTGATCCTCGGCATCCCAGTCACAAAACCTGAAGGGCACACTCGAGATTGAAACATGCCATTGAAAAGTTCAATGAATCTCAAAAGAATCTAGGAGTTTCAAACCAATTAAAACCAAAATAATACATTTCGTTTATCTTGGTGGAAATTGGTGAATCGTCATTCACCTACCTTCAAATATTTTATAGCTTGGATTACGGCATCCCTCTTCCAAGTTATAAAATAGTTTTTGGGTCCTAGACTTAATATATCATATTGGGTGTTATATTAAGGACTTTAATCAACTTTACGTGAATTCTCCCATTGTTGATGTCTGGTTTAGACAATATGATCTTCCCAAACCAAGCTTTCCTATGAATATGACTTCCCGAGTTTGGCTCATGGAAGTCATACTTCTCTTCCTCCACCTCCTCCAATTATTCTCCCTAACCCACAAGTTCAAGGTCACTCAAGCCCTAATGGCAAGCAAGGTCTATGTGTGATCACATCTTAGAGATAAAGTCACATATTGACAAGTCGGGAGAGTTGGGGTCAAAGTCTTGAGAAAGTTGGATGTTCAATCACTTTCTAAGTCACATAGTGAGTTCCTTTGGACTACTATGAAACAGACTATGACATGAACCTTAATGATCATATCTATTTGCTGGTGCTACTGAATCAGCAATGATTTGGAGGACCAGTAAAGCAAATTTGATTAGAAGATCAACTTCCCAAACTTCTATGGACTTTGAAAATGGTAACATTGGATATCCAGAAAATCTTCGCTTCCCAATGGAAAGGGATTGGCCATAGTCAACCGGTTGACCAAATGGTAAAGAGAAAGGCAAGTCGTCTGTGATAGTCCAGTACACATCCCAAAGAGTCCATATGTTTC